CTGAGAGAGAAACTTCTGGTGCGTGTACACACACACACACACACACACACACACACGCTGCGCTGTTGCCAGTGGCCTTAGCCCAGTCCTGGTTGAGGCAGGTGTGCCCAGGGAGAAACCAGGTGCGCGTGGGCAGGATGCTGGCTGCACGTGGAGGCACAGCTGCAGGGCATGGCTGCCACCTGCCCAGGTGCTGAAGTCCTCTCTCCCAAACGCAGGTCCGACTCAGGAGATGAGCAGTTCCCCACCATTTGCCGGGAAGACCCAGAGGTCCAGGGGTACTTCAGGGACCCCCGCTGCTTGGGGGAGCCCGAGTACTTCAGCGGTGAGGAGGACTACGAGGAGGACAGCTCACCCGCCTCCAGCAGGTGAGGGCTCGGGGCTCGGCCAACGTCAGAAGGCCTGGCTGCTGCCTGTATTCGGTGCTCTGCCTGTTCCTGACGCCCCGGCCCACCTGCAGCTGCACAGGACCCCAGGCTCCAGGCCAGAGGGAGGCCGAGTGGAGACCGTCCTCCCGGGCTGTGACCATTTCCCCCAGGACCTCTGGGGTCTCTCAGCGAAGGCCCAGACGTGAGAGCTGGGCCCGGCGTGCAGGGTCAGCCTTCCTCCGCTGAGAGGCCTGTTACTTCGTGAGCACCGCCCACGCTGAGCCAGGCTCTGTCTGCCCAGCAGCTCTGCCAGCCCTTCGCTTGGGGCCAGGGGGGGAGGGTGGGTCATAATGAACAGCACCTGTTCCCCACGCTCATCAAGGGGTCGCTCAGCAGAGCTGCCTCTCCGGGCTTCTGTCCTGAAGGAAGAATGTCTGAGGTTCAAGGGGACACTTGCTTTAGGACACATCTTGGGCAGTGCAGGGGGACAAGGCCACCTGCGATCCTCTTCTCTGTAAATTGCATCTCACCAGGACCAGGGGCCCACTGAGTGGACGTGGTACTGCCTGAGGTCCCTTCTGGTGTCAGAGCTGTTCTAACTTCGCCTTGTACCCCAACAGCCATGGCCGGGCCCTCGCGCCCCCTGCCCCCC